CCCTATTAGAGTTTCCGAAAATAAGACCCTAATACAGTACCCGAAATAGTAGGATCCTTATTATAAGGATCCCAAAAGAAGGTACGCCTAATTTTCGGACACTCCCCTATAGCCCCTAAATCCTGTGACGGAAAGCTCGTGGGTTGGGCTGGGAACCAGGCGACCGCCAGGGGCTGTTGCTCACCTCATCAGGCAGTTTGGTCAAAGGGGAAAAGGAGGGACCCTTACTATGGACCCCTACCCTATAATGGGCTATATAATGGGTATATAATAGCTATATTAAGGGTATATACCTAGGGGTCCTTATTAAGGGTCCCTCCTGTTACCCTTGGATTTGGGTCTTTTGCACCAAAAGAAAAGCATAGCATTCGAGAAACCGAGGGAGCGAGAGAGTGGCGGAGAGTGTGTGGGCTCGAGGGACTCGGTCTGCCCGTAGGCTCCTATGAAATTCGTAGTGTATGTAGGTGTCTGTATCAGGGGGCCCTTCGAATTCCCGAAAACTCCCTTTGCAAGCTTCTCTGTGGACGTTGCCTGTCCGCCGGAATGCTTCGCAGGCACGTCCTTGGCAGCCAGCACATAAGAAAAGCACACCCCACACCATCTATCAGTACATGCTTTTTATGTGCTTATGTATGTAAGTATGTATGCAAGTACGTACACATGCATGCATGTATGTGCCTATGCCTGTCACATGTATGTATGTACGTATGTATGTATCTATCTGATCGTCAGAGTCTGTCCAGGTTTTATGTATGCATGCACGCGTCTGTGTGTATGTGTGTGCATGTGTATATATGTGTATGTATTTGCGCAGATGTGTGTCTGTATGACTGTCTGTATGCACGTATGTGCATCTTCACAAACGTAAATGGATGAACTAATGCGAGTGGGGCACATAGACACATGTACATACATTCTGTATACATGCGTATGTACAGACATGTGTGCGTGCACACATAGACATATACATATATGTATGCACACACACACACATACATGCACACCTACCTGACATAGCCTGCCTGCCTGCCTGCCTAGCTACATACCTACGTGCCCATATATATATATATATATAGATGTGTGTATAAACATATCCATATTTCTGCATCACAAGCCTCAACACAACAATGTTAATAGAACTAATCATGGTGACACTGTTGAAAAGCCAAATTCAGGATTAAGAGACCCACATATAAACAAGAACGCGCACACACACACACATAAGCATTACATACTCACAAATACACACATATAAATACACGCATGTATTGTTTATGTGTATATGTATGCATCCGTATATACATGTACATACAATACACATACCGCAACGCAGAGGACCAGTTGCTACATGGGTAGTTGTCAAATTAAGGACCCTTATTGGGTGCCCTCAATAATAAATGCCTTGCTCTACTATGGACCCAGAAAGGGACCATAATTGTGACAACCACCTGGTACATGGACCCTTAAACCCTAAACCCTACGTAGAACCCTTATAGAGCCCTTATTTGACAACTACCCACCTGCCGCAGCTGAGCAAAGAGCGACCCGCGGAAACGGACTCACGTGTCTCCCCAAACAGGGAAAGCACCTGCCACGGATTTAGGTTAGGGTTTAGGGTTCCTTTATACGATCAGGGTTTGGGGTTCATGTCAAAGATTAGGTTTTAGGGCTCCGTGAAAAAATAATTCAAAAGATTAGGGTTTTGGGTTCCCTTTGAAAGATTAGGGTTTAGGGTTCCTGAAATTTAAGGGTTCTATAAGGGATTAGGGTTTAGGGTTCCTTTAATGGGGGTTCGATAAGGGATCTACAAGGGATTCGGGTTTAGGGTACCTGTAATTTAAGGGTTCTACGAGGGATTAGGGTTGGGTTCCCAAACAGGGAAAGCACTTGCCACGCCCAAGCGAAGGTTTAGGGTTTAGTAGGGTTTGGGGTTTAGGATTTAGGGTTTGGGGTTTAGGGGTTTAGGGTTTAGGCGTTTAGGGTTTAGGGGTTTAGGGTTTACGGGGCACCCCAAACCCTGACCTGAACTCCAGTTCAGGGTCTTACACCCCAAAGACGAAGCCCTAAAAATCCCGAACCCCTAAAGCACAAATGACAAACTAGATCCTAAACGGCGCAAAACCCTAAAACCTCTTTCTAGGTTGGCCCTCTAAAGCCTCTGAAAAATAATCGTAAATCGGGTCACACTAAGCCCAATAAGGGAACATATAAAAACATCCCAAAACCCTAAAATATAAAATATCCCAAAACCCCAAAATGTAAAATATCCCAAAACCCTACAACCCCTGTTTTTCCTGCAGCCGCCCGGTGTGGGCCTCCGCCCTTGAGAAGTTCGCTGTGGCCTGGGTCGGATACGAGTCGGCTTTCGGTTTCGGCTCCTAGGGGTGCTACTTAAAGGATCATGGGACTTGGTAACTTTAAAAGGTTCCTTAAAGGGTTCCCATAAGGGATCTATGGGGTTTAAGGTACTTAAAGGATCATTGAATCATGGGACTTAGTAACTAGGGTTATAAGTTAAGGTAACTATACTTATAATTACTTCTAACCCCAATTAGGGGACTTATAACCTTACTTCCTAAGTCCCCTGATCCTCCAAGTAGGGCCCTAATATAATCCTTATAGTCACTATAACAGGGTGGGGGGCCCCGTCTAAGGTGTACCATGGTTCGGGGCTCTTTCAATCAGGATCCGATGATGTACGGCTGGTGATAGAAATCCTGCATTACCTTAAGGAGCCTAAACTATGGGAATTATGGTATATTCCTTATTATGGGTAATGCAGGATTTATATCATCAACAGTAGGTACCTGCACTTACCTTTGGTTGGTAGGGAATGGAGGAATGGGGTACAACTGTAACTACTATTGCTACCATTCTTCCATTCCCTACTAACCAAAGGTAAGTGTACGGGGGATACTTACCCAGACCATCCTAGTAACTCCATAATGGTAATTCCTACTACAGAAACCCTAGAAACCAGAACTTCGGCTATGTAAGTCAATGTAAGTGCTCAGGACCCTTTGTCTGCTGAGGGCCCGGCAATGGCACCATCATCTTTACAGTCCTTTATGGCTGCCATCGCTTCGTCCGTTGCCTGCAGTCGCTGAGAGAGAGAGAGAGAGAGAGAGAGAGAGAGAGAGAGAGAGACATAGAGAGACGGAGGGGGACGGAGAGGGGAGAGAGTGAGGTTTAGAGTGTTGGTCTTAGGGGAGGAGACAGAGAAAGAGAGAGAGCGGCTTGGTCGATGTGTCACACTGAACCGAGGCTCGTGCCACGTAGGCTTTGGAGCCTGCTATGTTCAGCCGGTTCTCCTTCAAAGGGCCCTCCTGCCTAAGCACGTGTCGCTTCAGCTGAAGTTCGAAGCTACAAGGCGTGCCTTCCCCAAGCTGGTAATCTAGGAACTTGATTAAGAAACCATGGGCCTTTACTAGGGTTCCTTATATGAACCCTGCTACTTTGGGGGTTTTAGGCCCAGGGTTTCTTAATCAGGTTCCTATATTACACTTTTTTTGCTGCCCGCTCGAATGGCTCGCGCCCTGAGGTTATCTGGGAGTTTCCGAAAATGGGGGACCCTAATATAGTACCCTAAATAGTGGGATCCTGAGAAAAAGGACCCCCAAAATAAAGGTACCCCTCTTTTCGGAAACTCCCATGTAAATATCTGGCATGTGCCAGGCCATGGCACTGGCTTCGTCACTTTGGAAACCAGGATTCTGCGTAAAGGCCCGGAGTGCAGCTCTTGCAAAGTCCGAAACCCATGGCATCCTTCAGCTGGTACGAGCTTTCTTCGCGCTTTGCAGGGACTGCAGGCAGCTGCCCAGCCTGATCGTCTCTGCTGCAGGGTTTTGGGGGTTTTAGACTAGAACGAAGCACAGGCGTTTCAAGAGGAGGTTATTTCAGTGCAGTTCCCTGCTGAGCCCTACTAGTAATGTTTCAGAGTTGTGTTATGATCCTAAACCCGAGACCCTCATGTTTACAAGGTTCAAAGCTGCACCAGGAGGTCGGTTGCATCCAAGAAGCTTGGTAATCGCATCCTTGGAAGTTCAGGACCCACGCTCAGCTGCTCAGGCAAGGACCCAAAGCTATAAAAAAGGGGCATTCAGATGTAGCATGGGGTCCTGTTGGGGTTCTGTAAGGGGTTTACAGCGTGCTATAAGGTTTGAATATGGGGTCTTGGGGTATACTCAGCTACAGTTGTATATAGAGTGTAAAGGGATACTAGTACCAATTACTCCGACCTCTCTGGTATATAATCTGTGCACACACCCTAGCTCTGGAGTCAGGCGTCCGTAATGTTTTCTACCGTCGCGGCGTAGGACAAGCGCAAGCACTTGCCATCACCGAAGGCATCGCCGGGCACGAGTGCAACCCGATACCTCATCAGGCTTTAGGGTTTAGGGTTCATGAAGAAAGGGAGCAACAATCGGTTGACTTACTTAAGGGACCATGGGACTGACTTCGTACCCAGGGTTTCAAGCAAGGTATACTTACGCGTAGCCCCAAAGAAGGTACGTACAACTTACAACCCCACTTACGCAGACCCATAGACCTCAAAAGCCCTATAGAACCCTGAACCCATACTGATTCCCTTTAAAGCCCTACAGCCTTACCTATTAAGTCCCCTGCCAGTTCCCCAGAGCTAAGGGAGCCTCCTGCAATTTGTGTCCACCTTGTGGGACAGTCCGACCAACATGTTACAAACTGCACATAGGAAGTAAGGTTTGAAAGGTTCAAGGTTTTCGGTTTAGGGTTACAGGGAACTCCAGAAAGTTGGAATATGGATTAATGGTAGGATCCCCTATAATATACCTTAAAGGGGTCACGATAATGATATTCCAACTTTCCGGCTTCTACTGTAAAGGCAACTTTCCAGTTCAAAGGGCTCTGTCCTCTCCATATATTCGCTGTCAAGGTGCTCTTCCAGTAAATGGAGGCAGAGCTGCGTCGCATCCTGACAGGGCACTTGGTTGGGACTTGGAGCACCCCAAACCCAAAATATCAAACCCCTCTGGAAAAGCTCTACTATTCTTAGGCTCCTTATTAAAAAGCGTAACAACATAAAAATCTCCCAGCTGGACAGTCTGGTAGGCCAAAACATGGAAATCTCAAATTCTTTTGAACTTCCCTCCCTCTCCTCCAAAACACAACGTGCAAGCATGTGCAAACATCGTAAGCTAAAAACTCCCAGGCCTACAAACCTCAAGTCCAAAAAACCCAACGCCATCCAAAACCCTCAAACCCCAGCAAAAAGCAAGCCCCATACAGCGCTGTCGGGGGAGGAGGCGGGGAGGGTGTTGCGCGCTGCGCAACCATTATATCCATAGGAGCCCACTCACAAAAAACCCGAACCTTAGCCCAAGAGCACTCCTGGATGACTTTTCCATCAGCCGTGGAGCGCCCGAAGTAGGCGGAAATGTCGGGAAACCTCAGTGAAACTTAGTGCTCTTGTCGGAACGGATAATTACGGAGTTAAGCAGGTACATCTACAACCAAGGGCCACAACATCGCTATGTCCTAAAGCCCAACTCTTGAATCCTAAATCCTAAACTCTGAACCTCGTGATGAACAGCAGGCACTCCTCTTACCCATACCCAGGTCTTGTGGTTGCCTCAAATTCTGCAATTTCTTTCATGGGACTTTCAGAAGACGAACTAATCTCTTCTGGGACCCTTCTGCACGTCTCCCAGATGTTTTGGGGTTTAAGGTGGCGATGTTTTTTTTTTGAGGGGGGGGCCTTGGGTTTTTTGTGGGATTCAAGGTGGCTAGGTGTAGTTTTTATGTAAGATAGAACCGACAACCTTTGACATTTAGTATACTGCAACACACGCACACGCACGCATGTCTATACACATACATATATATATATGTATATGTATATATAAATCTACATATATATATATATATATATGTATGTATACATATATGCAAACATGGAATTGGCTTTAGGCTGGTGGGGTTCGGGATATCTGAGCCCCGAGCAAGTAGAAGGCACCGCCAGGCTTCGGGCATTGTATCTCCTCATCTGCACGACGTGACTACCATGCCGGGATACCCCTAAAGATTGAGAATACTCTAGCAATTATCGTAAAGACCCTAAGAAGCCCTATAACATCCTTGTACCCCAAGAAGAAAGGACAAACCATGCCTATGAAATCCTTACAAGCCCGGCAAGAAAAAACAACAATCCCTGTAGAAAGGACAAAAAACATATAATACCCTGATTACAACCCGAAAAGAAAGGACAACTTTCCTCTTAAACCCTGATGATCCAGGAAATCCTAAACCCTAAACCTTAAACACCGTAAACCCTACAGGAGAACTTTCCAGGATTTTCGGGCCGCGGGGATCTTGGCCAGAAGATCTAGAGCCAGATCGCGCTTCTTCTCGAGCTCGGCGACTTTGCCTGAGATGTAGCCTGATCGACGGTGATAGGTTTAGGGGTTTGGGGTTAGTGGTTTAGGGCTCGAGGCTTGGGGATCACCATGTAGCCTGAACGATATTCATATTCGAAATATTTGTGTGAACAGAACACAACAAGGATAACCGCAAAGGTAACCCTTGAATCCCCAACTCTAATGATGCGAGGTACAATAGTGAGTATCAAAGTCAATGCCAAGCATGACGCTTGCCATGTACTAACAATCCCGAGAAGAATGAGCATCAACAATTACAATCGAACTTAGTGTAATAAGTACAATGAGGGTGACCATGGTGTGTAGCCCATGCTCCGCCCCAGAGGCGCAGTTGCAGCCAAGCGGCTCATGTCGCACTGCAGCGCCGCAATGCCGGCATGCTGAGCCACGCTCGAAGCACATGAGGTGATCCTAGGGTAAACCCTAAAGACCGTAAACCCTGGTCCCTAGACCCCTAATCCCTGTACTGGACATTTCAAGTGAGACTCCCGGGCGAGTACACGGGGTGCCTTGATGATCATAAAAGAGATTTCAGTAAATTCTACAATAGCCCTTGTAAGGAGCCCCAGGAATAAGGTTCTTCGGCCGTTCTGTTAGGTCTCTGAGCGCAGAGTTCATCATATCATATTTTCTTATATTAGCTGATATGGTATTGTACTCTTTCAGCGGATCTCACATCATTTCATCTTGGCTGGTTGGTTATCTTAGTTGATCTCATAATGTGACCTTGGACTATAGCATACTACATTATGCACCTTGTATTCTGCCAAGTCTCTGAGACTGCAACTTCGAGGCGGCTTTGACAATTTCTTTGGGTGCGGCAAGGTATCCCAATCGATAGCCTGCGGTTAGGGTTATCCTTTTCGTGGTATTTAGGGCTTGGGGCATAGGATTTCATAGCAGGGTTCTGGTTTCAGGGCTTGGCGTTTGGCGGCTTACGGCAGTGCATTGCAGTTGCACTGCAAAGCTCAGGGGGCGACCTGTCATTGAGAAAGCCTTGGAGAAGCCGTTGATCGTCAACGTACGCTCCCACATATCCTGATGGGAACTCTGCATCTATAAGCATTCAGACACGTTTGACATATCGACATATAATGCGCTTACATCTTAGTACGCACTTTGTTATGTTACTACATCTTACTATATACAAAGACAGCAATATCTTCTGTTGTTAAAATAAAACTAGATACTAGCAAGTATCTCATTTTTTGCAAGTAGATAGCATTATACAGCAGTTTACATGAAAACATATTCTTACCACATTTTCTGGATCAGCCAGGCAAGCCTTCAGAGCAGCAAAGGACGCGTGCTCCGTGCCGTCATAACCTTCAGAAGAGGGTGTAGGGTTTAGGGTTTTAAGGGTTTAGGGGTTGGGGTTTGGGGCTGGAGCGAGGACGATGCTTTCCTGGTCTCTCTCTGTAAGGTGCGAACAGATCCGTTCGTAGATCTCATCTGAGAGGACCTTGGCAGTGAGAGATTGCTAAGCATCTCTGATCCTTGCGGAGATGTCGGATTTAGGACTTGGTGTCTTGGGGCTTCCGGGTTGTGGGATTCATGAAGCATACCCTAAGCCTAAACCCTAAACCCCGGCGAGTCGCGAGAACATGCTGATTTTGTGGCTGCCGCAGCACTTCCGCGACTTCCTCGACTTGGCTTTTGCTCATGGCGCAGCCTGCCCGAGAGCTTGCGAAGCAAACCCTAAACCCCTAAAGCTGAGAAGGGGCCCCCACCCTGTAATAGTACTTAGTATACGAGGAATATAATTAGGGCCCTAATATAACCTTTATAGTCACTATTACAGGGTGGGGGGGCAGCTTCAAACCTAAAGCCCCAAAACTCCTACGGCCCCAAACAGATCTAGCCACTGCCTGTCGGATTCGATGGGTTGCACACCTCGGCTTCTTATGAAGGGCTTCTAAGGGTTTAGGGTTTAGGGTTTAGGGCTTATGAAGGGCGTTTAAGCGCTTCATCCTCACATTCAGCACATTTTGAAGAAAAGGAGTGCGAGGAGGTGATCCTGTGTTCTTGTGGAGGCATCCAGTCTAGGTTACAATAAGCAAACCCTCTTGTTCACCATGGATCGCGAATATGGCAGCTTATTGGAAGCTCCTTAACGAGAACCTAAGAGAAAGGAGATGATCTCCGGCCAAGCTTCAATGACCAAGCGAGTTCGCGGCGTGATCGCGGCATTCAGCTTCTTGGCATCGATGGCATAGCCTGGGTTCTTCTTAGAATTTAGGAGACGTTAACATTGGATCTCTTGTGAAGGAATTTTATTTAGGTCGGCATTCCAGGGATCTTCATCAAAAACTCTTGGCTCCTAAAAAAAAAACACTACGGTTTCCTTCTAAAAGCTAGGGCTTCCTTTTTATGGTGCCTCTCACCAAATCCCTTATATGGGGATTTCCGAAAATAGGGGGCCCGAATTTAGTACCCTAAATGGTAGGATCCTTATTAGAAGGACCCCTAAATAAGCTGCCCCTAATTTTCGGAAACTCTAAACCCAAAACCCCTTATAGAAGCCTTATAGATCCCTTTAAGGAACCCTAAAAGGATCCCTTTTTCAAGGTACCCCTAATTTTCGGAAACAAGAGCCCAGTAGCCTTGATCTGCCGTTGTCTCCAAGATCACCGGAGTCGCCCCCGACAGCTTCACGATGTCCTGGGCAGGTGTGGGCAAACAAAGGCTTAAGTAGCCCTATATACTATAGTATACTATACTATAGTATAGTATGCTACTGTATGTTATACTATAGTGCATATTATGCTATAGTATATTGTATTATTGAGAAGACAAACTACGGCACATCAAATCCATCTCCAGCAGGGGCCATCTTCTTAAAGGAAACCACTCGCTTCTACCCATCCTTTAGACACCGCAGGCCGAAGTATTTCGGGAACCCTAAACCCCAAACATTAAACCCTAAACCCTAAACATTAAACCCTAAACCCTAAACATCAAACCCTGAACCCTAAACATTAAACCCTGAACCCTAAACCCTCAACCTTCCGATCTGAAGTCAGAAACGAGCTTCCGGGTAAGAAGTCCAATACGGTGCAGGGACGATCACTTCGTCACCTTTCTGGCAGAGCGCCATCACGACTTGGTAGATAGCCTGCTTGCCTGCCGACGCCGGCAGGGACTCGCGGTAGATTCTTAAACCCTGAACCGTAACTACTACAATAAACGTACAATAAGGAACCTAGCTGTTCATGCTTCCAAACTACCCGATGCAAAAAGCAGGTCTGCCTCCGCATGCAATCAACACTTCGTCGGGGCTGTACTTGACCTGGCGCATGTCTTGTTCTCTTTCCCTTAAAGACTATACCGTACACCATAAGGGGATTCATATTTATTATGATTTAAGATATATGGGTAGTTGTCAAAATTAGGGTTCCTTTTTGGGTACCCTAAATAATAGGTGCCGTATTATAATAGGGACCCTAATTTTGACAACCACCCATACTCCTTCTTTAAGGGGTAGTGGGCTCTCTTGGCTCGGGTATGCCCTAAACCCTACCCAGGCCGGAATCCCCCTAAAATCCAAATCTCCTACTCTCCAAAACCCTAGGCCTCGAATCCCCCAACCCTTCGGCCTTCAGTGCTTAGACCCGACTTAAAGGATCGTAGGCCTTAGTAGGCTTACAAAAATGGTAAATATACCCGGAGTTACTTATAACCCCTTATAGAGCCCTTAAAAAGAGACCCCAGACTGCCTTCTTGTACTTCTCGAGATACTCGGCCACCGCCTTCGCGGGGGCAGAAAGAAATGTGATGCCAGGTCTGCAGTACTAGGGTTTGGGATGTTGTGTGTAGGGTTAAGGGTTTAGGGCTAAGCGACTAGAGTTTAGGGTTTTTAGGGCGAGTCTCTCATAGTGTCCGAGATATGCACTGACCGACATTTCTAAGGAGCCGTCTATACACTCACAAACTCCCTCATACACACCGTACTTCGAACCCCAACAAGCGCAACAAGCTTCAAGAAACTGCACCCCCCTAAACAAAACTAAACCACAAACTCTGACCCCAAATCCCGAATCTGGCAGCTGTTGGGCTCCTACTATCATACTACTTACAGGGCTTTTGTTGATTCACTATTGATCAAGCTTGATTACTTCATAACTATAATGACTATTATGCAAAACCCTGAACTCTAATTGTAGTGCTTATTAAATTACCTTGAATATCATAGCAGCTATCGGGATTACCAAACCCTAAACCCTAAGCCATATTTTTTTTGAGAACTTCCTGGTTTTTTCGCCCTAGATCCTAAACCCTTTCTCAAACAACCCTCGAGATTGTTACGCCCTACACCCTAAACCTTTCATTCTTAATATTAACACTCGGGATTATACGCCCTAGACTTAGACTCTAGTTTTCATACTAACCCCCCGGGATTCTTACCTTAGACCCTATTGTGGCCTAACCATCACCCGATAGAGGCACTGGAAGCCTTCATCAACACCTAAGCCCCAATTTTGTATCAGCCCGAAGGATGCTTAGGTCCTAAACCCGAAACCCCTAAACCCCTAAAACCCTAAACCCCTAAACCCCTAAACCCCTAAAACCCTAAACCCCTAAACCCTAAACCGCAAAAACCCTAAACCCCTAACTAAACCCCTAAACCCTAAACCGCAAAAACCCTAAACCCCGAACTAAACCCCTAAACCCTAAACCGCAAAAACCCTAAACCCCTAACTAAACCCCTAAACCCTAAACCGCAAAAACCCTAAACCCCTAACTAAACCCCTAAACCCTAAACCGTAAAAACCCTAAACCCCTAAACCCTAAACCGTAAAAACCCTAAACCCCTAACTAAACCCCTAAACCCTAAACCGTAAAAACCCTAAACCCCTAACTAAACCCCTAAACCCTAAACCGTAAAAACCCTAAACCCCTAACTAAACCCCTAAACCCCTACTTCGCTTCGCTCCGGCGGGCCTGTCGCAGCTCCAGGGTTCCTCTCTTCAGGGACGCTTTCCACGGCTCTCAGAAGGGCTTCGTCATAGGGACCCTACGGGGGTATGGGGGAGGGGGGGTAGGGGACTATACTTCCTTAAAAGACGCCTCATAAGGTCCTTATTATGGGCATTAAAGGCCCCCAAGCCCCCCCCCTCCCCACCCCTAGAAGGGTCCCTATGACTTCGTACGGGTTCTTATGAAAGCTGTACCGTGGGTTTCAGAGGGCTAGGGTTAGGATTTTAGCCTGCGAGGTTCAGGATTACAGCCTTAGGCTTTTGCTGATGAAATCTGCGGCACAGATGTAACATAAACCCTAAACCCTTCAACCCTAGCCCTCTGCGGCAGGGTCCTGTCACTGCAGTGTAGCTCGTCAAGCCCTTAACGGCAGCTTCCTGGGTCGCCTGGATTGCTTCGGGCGGAGGTGCGAAGTCTGGCTGACCAACCTGCAAGCACTGCGGTTTAGGGTTTAGGGTATAGGGTTTAGGGGTTGCATAATTTGACGTGACAGACAAGCTCTGTCGGAGTCATACTAGGTCACGAAGCTGCTGCCCGGGGAACGCATAAGGCCCCGTTGACCTTTTCACCACGACTCTTCATGTTGGAGACCTGTCTGCACAGCGTACCAGATTGAGTGCAAGTAGGTAGCACCGCCGCGTGCCTTGCTGAAAATTGCCACGGTGGTGGACCTTGGGTGTCTAGGTTGGCCCTTTAAGGCCTCTGAAACATATTCGTAAATAGGGTCCTATTACGCCCATTAGGGGAAAATGTAAAATATCCCAAAGGCCTACCTAAGTATAGTATAAGTATAGTTACCCTATGTATAACCCAAGTTACTAAGTCCCCATGATCCTTTAAGTGGGTGTGACAGCAGCAGATCTGCAGGAGTGTCGCCATCGCAGCTGAGCCCTCCGCTCCTCCATCTCGCTGATCATCGGGTTCAACTTTAACGGAGCCATGGCTGGAGAATCCGGAAAAAATGCCCTGTGCTGCAAGTACCGCAGATGGCGAGAAAGCACCTACATCGGCGGCAAGATGCACCATGCATGAGGGAAGACATGGTATACTGGGATGCAATGTCATTTCCGCGATAGTTTGAGCTGCAAGCTTGCTGTGCCGATCGCAAGATTCTCTCGTCGAATCTCGCTTCTGTCTGGTGGAAAAAAGTTGTTTAGAGAACACCTGAGACACCGGCTCTTCACTGGCATCCAACTTGCTGACCTAAAAGAGAAAGGCAGAAAGCACCTTGCCCCTGTGGAGCAAACCGGTCTACAGTAAAAGCCAGAAAGTTGGAATACGATTATCCTAAACCCTTTATGGTAAATTATAAGGTATCCTACCCTGAAACCATATTCCGACTTTCTGGAGTTCCCTTTAAGGGGCTCTGGCCATGTACATGTGCGCTTGGGCGACGAGCGAAAGGGACTCCACCTGAAGAGACGGCTCCCGAGCGCACACTTCTGGGGACTCGATATGAGTAGTTGTCAAAATTATGGTCCCTTTTTGGGTCCCGAATACAATACCACACCTAATATTCAAGATGTCCAAAAAGGGACCCGAACCTTGACAACTACCCCTATGACCTGAGATCTTTTTGATGGCCGCGAGCCTGACCGACGACATCCTTCTCCTGCACAGCTGCGTGGTTTCAAGGCTTCTTGAACGCCATTGCGTGACCTTACCAATACCATTTTGGGATACAATTTGGGGGTTCCTCACTATAATCATGCTAGAATATACCGCAAAACCCTATTCTAAGTACTGAGGCCCCTATATTGCCCTCCTTGTCGCAGGACCCGAAGCACTGGCGAGCAATCATCGGCAAAGCTTTCACATGTCGTTGTCTGCCTTCTTGTAGATGGTCTTCGCTGCTTCTGCCGCACGGGCTGCCTCCTGATCAGAGCAAGCTGGTCCCTCTGGGTCTGAATCAGGGGGACAGCCGAAGTTTGCTCCTTTGGCTCCTCACGGCCTGAGTGGATAAACGCAGTGGGAGCTCTTGGCGGCACTCTTCGCAGCTTATGGGGAGAGCCCTTTTCCCTTTTCCTGCCCGCAGGGCCCCGCACAAGTCTGCAGCGATCATGTACACAGGTACGTGAAAGCGTGCAAGGCACCCGAAGTTGCGAGCCGGGGACTCGACACCTGGCGTCCCTGCTTGCAACTCCGTGCTGAGCGAGGATATTGAACAAGAATCTAGGTAAGCAGATCGACCAGGGCAAGAACATCCAGGTTTGCTGGACATCTTGCGGAATCCTGCCGACGAGGAACGAGGTGTGAAGCTCAACACGAACAACCCCTTCTAAGTTCTATGTCAGAAATACGACACATACCGATAGAGTAATACCATTATGAAAAGGAACACATCTGGGGTAGTCCTGTGAGCTCACTGTCCAATGTGCTTGGTCCATCAACATCGCCCTTGACTAAGACCTCTTTTTGCCATGGCTCTCAGGCAGAAATGCCGGGCGAGCTGATTCGCAAGCAGTGCGCACCCTACATTGCCACAATCTGCAATGAAGGTCTCAAAGACCTCTACTGGCCACTTATGAGCCATCCAAAGTCACCTCTTCTGCACAGACCCCAGGGACTTGGAAACGGCTCCGGAGGCCACCCCGGAAAGTGGTAACTCAGATCGCGAAGGGCGTCCAGTGGGGATTTGGGCCCTCCTTTCCTGAGCGCATGCGGCGCATTTCGGCGCAGCGTGAGGCTCTCCATGCATTCTCGACCGCTTGCAATGGCCCTTCTAAACTTATAGGTATATTCCTTAATTTATAAATATATATAATCCCTCTACTAAAAAACAATTAAAATAAGCTTATAGGAACCCTGGTAGTGACCCTCCTACTACCTCAGCAGTTTTCCCGAGCGCCAAACGCCGACTTGCGAGCATCTCATCCACCTGCCATATCTCGGCTTTGAGGCCCTACCTGCAACCGAAAAGCCCTCCTTTTTTGGGGTTCCTTATTATGGTTTCTATATATAGTTCCTCAAAAAGGTAGGTCTTTTCGGCTACAGGTAAACCCTAAACCCCTAGATGGGACTTTAAGCCCGAAGCGCCTTGAGAAAGCCCTTGAATGCTACCTAAGATACTCCTGGTCTTCGGCAAGCTCGTTGTAAGTTCACGGGTCAGAAAAACCAGAGCGCAGGGCACTCCGTCCTGGGATTAGTAGTAGTAGGAGTAAGAGTAGGAGTAGTAGTAGCAGCAGTAGTAGTAGTAGTAGCAGTAGTCGTAGTAGTAGTAGGAGTAGTAGTAGTCGTCGTCGTCGTGGCACGGTTGATGATATTCATCCTGCATTACCTTGAGGATCCTAAACTCTGGGAATCTGGGAATTATGGTATATTCCTCATTCGGGGTAATGCAGGATTTGTATCATCAGCCGTAGTAGTGGCGGTGGCGGTGGTGGTCGTAGTCGTAGTAGGGGTCGTATGTAACCTTTGTCGTCGTAGTCACCAACTGGGCTGATTTGGGCGGACCTGTGCCGGCTCGCTGGCAGCCGCCACGAAGCCAAAGAATGGAGGCGATGGCCTAAGCTGCGCTGGAATTCACGGGTTTGGGGTTCAGGAGTGCTTTCATTTGTTGATAGCCTCTTTTCCTCCTGACAGGGTGCTGGGGGCTCAAGGAAACAAGAGCAGAGCTCTGCCACATTGCAAGCCTTTTCAACGTGTGAACTAAGACTTGGACTGACCAGGACGTGATTTGTATTCTGGGTGGAACTGCACACCCATGAAGAAAGGATGATCCTGACAGAAGCAGGAACATGATGCCAGAAGATGGACAAGTTGGAGTTTCTGTCCTTGGTCGCCATTTCAATGATATCCATGCGCTCCTGCAAAAGGTCGGAAAGCAGATGAATGCTCATTCAGGCCCAAGCCGGCCCCATCCGGCCCCAAACCCCAAACGCCAAGCCATAAAGCACGAGAGATCCCATACAGGGTACTCTAGGGTTCTTCAATATCGTCCCCTTGCATTTAAAAGGGGTACTAAAGAACTCCATAAAGCAGGGTCCCCTTTCTCAGGACCCGGCCTCTAAGAGGAACCCCTAATATAGAGGCCTTAATAATTAGAATAGGGTCTTGCGGCCCATTATACTATAATTGTAACAAGGAGCCCCAAAAAATAGAAAAGGTAATTATTTAGGCCCCTATATTATGGTACCCTTATAGATCCCTTATAGTCACCCTTATAGACCCCTTTAAAGGAACCCTAGGAGACCCTTCTAAAGGAACCCTATATAGATCCTTTTAAAGGAACCCCAGACCCCTTTAAAGGAAATCTAGGGTCCCTTACATTAATGGCCCTGACAGCTCCTTGCTCTCATCCTGGCCAGAGAAGATGAGGCCCTTCTTCTCCATCCTCTCCTTGAAAGCGACGTTGAACTCGTAACCTCGGCAGAATTAGAGTTTGGGGTTGGGATCATCGGGAATCGGGGCTTAGAGCCCTTTAGTTTCGTAAATATTTAGGCCTTATAAACCCTAAACCCTGAAACTTAAACCCTAAACCCTAAACCTCGGGTTGGGATCATCAGGTTTCAGGGCTTAGAGCCCTTTAGTTTCGGATTTGGGCTCAGGGCTTCGGATTTGGGCTCAGAATTTCGTGTAGGGTGTACGGGTTGAGCGAAGAAGGCACAGTCAAACTGATCGCAGCAACATGCCCACTGGATTCCCCAGTAGTCCCTTAATAATGAGGAATAAGCGTACCCTTGTCCTACTATTTGGTTTCAAGGAACCCACAAGAAAAAGAAGCAAAATAGTACTACTGGGTAACCTAGCCAAGCTGCGATGCCTGTGTCGCTCGTGGACCCGATTGGCGCCGCCTTTTCTTGCCCGCTACTTGGAGGATCAGGGGACTTAGTAAGTAAGGTTATAAAGCACCTTAATTGGGGTTATAAGTAGTTCTAGCTATAATTGTTCCTTATTTAAGACCATAGTTACTGAATTACATGATCCTCTAAGTAGTCTGCAGAAGATAGAGTTGTGAAGCTGTCACCTTAACTTGTAATTGTAGAAATGCATGAACAAACACATCCTTGACATCCTTTGTAAGCACTCAGAGCTGCACTCATACATGTATTACATATACCAAAAGACACATCCCACTACAAGCATCTGCGAATTCCCATATTCGCGAAGGGATCGATAAGGCCCATAGGGATATCCCATATGAACCCATCTATAATGAAGCCCAAAAAGGCAGGGACATCCATATAAAAAGCGTGTGGTTATCTGCTTTTGGGGGTTCCTAAGCCAGGCGAGATGCCCCAAGCCTACACCCTAGACCCCAAAAGCTATGCCCTAAACCATTCAAAGGGGAAAAGGAGGGACCCTTAATAAGCACCCCTGCCCTATAATGGGCTATATAATGGGTATATAATCGCTATATTAAAGGTATATACCTAGGGGTCCTTATTAGGGGTCTCTCCTTTTGCCCCTGGAACCATACACCCTAAACCGCAAAGGAGCCGAGGCAAGGAGACACTTTATAACGCTACCTACAACTGACCCTAAACCCTAAACCCTAGCCCTTAAACCCTAAACCCTAGACCCTACACCCTAAACCTTAGATTCAGATCCCTAAACCCCAAACCTTAAACCCAAAACCTTAAACCCTAAATCCCTAGACCCTACACCCTAAACCCTAAACCTTAAGCCTTAGATCCCTAAACCCCAAACCTTCAACCCCCAATCCCTAACCCGGGCAAGATGCCGTAGAGAGCGGAGGCCAGTGACTCTTCCGGCTTCGTGAACTCCACCCAGCGGGCGCCCAGTCGCATGTTGGCACCCATGGTCTCCTTTCGGTAGCTTAGGGGCTTCTTTAAGGGATCTTTCAAGGGATCCTTTTAAGGGGTCCTCTAAGGGATCCTTTTAAGGGATCCTTTAAGGAATCGGGTCGATCTGTGAGGGTTTAGGTTTAGGCGCTTAGTGCTTAGATTAGACTGCAGGCTTTCGAACCCATGATTTTCTCCTTCAGGCAGCTTTCAGGGTTTGGTGCTTTAGGGTTTGGGATCTGCAGTAGGGTTGAGGGCTCCACCCAGCTAAAATCATGGGCTTAGCCTCAGAAAAAAGCGATCAGAAGACTGTTGGATAATATAATATAATATCATCTAATATAATATAACCGAATACAATATAATATAATCTAACCTAATATGATATAATCTAATATAACCTAATCTAATATGGGACTCTGCAGGAACGTGGCAGTTACACTGGAGCCCAAGATGCCATGTTTTTGGCTCATGACGCTTTTTGTTGTGCTTCTTTTCCTCTTTGCTACAGCTTGCTCATGACGCTTATGGTTCAGAGTTTGAGGTTAGGGTTTATGGTTATTCGTTGATTCTTCTTCTTCTTTCTCCATGGTCTCTGTTGCAGCGGTTTGTTCATCACTTATGCCCCTGTGCATACGATGACACTTTCAGTGTCACCGCGGTTGGCGATTACAACACTGCGGACAGGAATGAAAATGATGATGCTAATGGTAGGATAGAGGGGTGTAAACCCTCAACACATGATAGTATAGTCATAGTAGGTAGCAGTTGAGGTACTGCGGTCCATAGTAGTCATAGCAAAAATGTCAATAGTAGTCATAGTAAGACTTGTTATTTATCACCATACTAATAGTAATAGTATGGTCCTTGGAGATCTCAGGCATGAAGATGACCACGTGATTCTTCGACCTCGGTGCTTCTCGCAATTCTCCATTAGCACATTTCGTGGGAGCATCTAAGCACAATGCGTCCCAGCGGTGTCGAACTCTTCGCTGGTGGCATCCGGGATGCCAAGGACGTCTTTGGCGAAATTAATTAGGGCGACCTGTTGGGAGTTGATGTCAACTTCAGCTCCGTTTTTTGACATGAGGGTTCCCGAAAATTAGGGGTGCCTTATGTTGGGGTCCTTATCATAAGGATCCTACTATTTAGGGTATTGGGGTCCCCTATTGTCGGAAATTCCCACATCCTCCTGCCTGCATGCCCA